ACAGATGCTCTGCTGCAACAACCTTCACTGATGAAAGATCTTGCTTTCCATGTGAATCTCAGTGGAGATCACAGCCCCAGCAGCCCCATTCAGGACTTCAAGGAGTTAAAGCATAGGGATTAAAGGTGATAAAGATAGGCTCAGAAAGCATTGCACTGACATTTGGGATATTTGGCTGTCTTTGGGTACCACCAAATAAGCACCAGTGTTGCCAGCAGGATAGGATAAAAGAGGTATCAGCTCATACCCACCTATGGTAAGCGGCTCTTTTGAGATGCAACAAGCCATGAGGGGAAAGGAGACCTCCCTGCTCTGTATAAAGCATCTGGCAACAACAGCAGTAATGAAGGCAAAGCTATTCCAAATCCCTGGGCTGCATCAGTGTCTCCATGCTAGCCCAGAAAACAATTATCTGGAGAAAGCAGGTCACACCTACACTTCAAAGTCATCGGTACTTATAGCTGACTGGCCTCCAGATACTGCTGGGAACAGGCTCAAAGGACTGCAACACCCGTCGCGGGCCAACACCTATGGGAAAGCTTCTGAGGAGTTCATCCTAATTCATCCCTTCAGGAAATGAGATTCAGGGACACTCAGCTCCTGCTCAGGAGGTCTCCCAGAGGCACCCATCCACACAGCACATCCATGTGGGGAGCACATGGAGTCCTGTGGTCCCCCATGGAAAAAGCTCAGGTGACCAGCAAGGCTTCATTAACTTTGGATGAAATAGTAAATTATGGTCAAAATGAGTAGGGTTTGAATTTAGGTTAGCAGCCCAAGTTTAACCCAAAGGCTTTAATTTAAGCAATTAACCTAAATTACAGCCTTGGCTTTACTGATAATTAAGCTGAGATTAGGTAGCACAGGTGAACCAATGCAGGTTAGTAAGACACGCTCTTCTTTTACAAATGGATGTGTTTTTGAAAACAAAACACACAGAGGCACTTCCAAAACCTCCAGCCTCGTCTGAGAAAGGGCATCATCATCATCAGGTGAAGGTGGATCCTGGAGAGGAGTAGCAGTGCAGAGGGATGGAGAGGAGGTGAGGAAGAGCTGTTGGAAGTATCTGAATGCAGAAAATGGTTCAGATTTTCACTCAGGGGGCTGGAGCTGCCTTTATTGCCCTCACAGAGTCAGAACTCACTTTCTTAATCTCAAAGGAGAGGTATTACCTTGGTATCAGCATGACGCCAGGACCAAACTCAGCCAAAACTGACTCCCAGGTTTATGGCATGGTGGAAAAAGACCTCCTACCTCTTGGTGTGGGGCTTGCACCTGCTGCTGCGTGCCCTCTTTGCTGAGCCTGGGAGGAAGAAATGAGGAGGAGAAGGGAAGGAAAAGGACCCGGAGCCTGCTCAACCTTTCAGAGGTCCCCTGCTACGTCAGGGGGGTTCTCACACCTGCCCAAACACAGCTCCCTTTGTTTGCTTAAGAACTACAGAGCAGCTTGAGTGAGCACAAGCATTATCCTTTGATGGAGGAGAAAGTCTGTATCAGAGCAAGCTATCTGCATCAGAGCAGCAAATTCATTACATGCCTAGAGCTGTAGGGTGCATGGGAGACACTCCCCCAGGAGCTACCTGGAAACCCTGTGTTTCATCAACAGAGCAGGGTGGGGGCCCCCCTTTGCCATCACCCCATACCCCAAACCTGTAGCTACAGCTCCTTGTGCTCACAGTTCTGCCTTTTGTAATTACCTCTCGAATTCCTTCCAGATGAGTGACAACCGCATCACCTCCACCCTAGTGCAAATGTGAAATGGAAAGAAATTAATTTCTTTTTACTTGGTTGGAGGACCTGTCTTATTACTATTATTAACAATGGACTCCAAAGCAGTTGGTGTATTCTTTAGCCAAAAAAGACAAGTTTCATATGTAAAAGGAGCCTGAGGGGAAAAAGGAAAGTACTGACGCATCACGCTGTTAGTAACCGAGGGTGGGTTTCAGCCTGGCCAGCTCTGCACACCCTGACTCAGCTATCTGGTCTACCCACGTAATGCTGGTGAAAGTGGAAAACCATTTTCAGGGGCCTCTCCATCCTCTGCTTTGGAATGGGACAATCTGCGGTTTGGTGGTGACCTCCATGGACTGCACAAGAATATGGAAGAGCTTCCAGTCAGAAGAGTTAAGTGAGATGGGGAGCACCTGAGAATGCAACTCCCAAAGGAGCCACATGCACTTGAGAAGGCTGGCAACTTGCATCTGCCTTTGAATATCTTGCTCTTGCAGACTTGCATTGATATGAACCAAGCACACTTGAATCAATCTCAGCATTTGAGTCATGGAATCTGCCAATTGGTGGGCAAAACCCTAAGGCTCAGCAATAATCCACTGCATTTTTGGATGCGGACCTGTTGGTTGCAATCCGTTTACTCCCAGTTCCCATGGGTGCAAACGTGCAGGCAGCCAGACTCAATGAGACAGCCCCGCTGGGCAAAAAATTGCAGGATTAAGCCCTTCCTTACAATAAAAGCTCAGTCTTGTAATAGACATGAAAATAAACTGACAATTGCTATTTATTCCTCCTTCATTTAAAACTGCATTGCAAATGCAATCCATCTGAAAGAAAGCAGCTGGAGAAACAGCGGGGGAGCAAAGTGATGAAATTCCAATTTCTGGGAGTTTCTTTTACCCTGCTACTTTGCAAGATAGGGGCAGATCAAAGCCCAGCACCCCTCCACCGTGGCGATTCCTCAATGCCACATTATTCCTGTGCGGCAGCCAGCAGACAGCGTGAGAAGAAGCTGTTGGGGGGAGACGCATTCACCTTCTCGTATAAAATAAATGATGAATCATCTTTTCCTGAACAACCTGAAGCACAAAGAGGGCCAGAAGCACTTGCTGGCCCTCAAAATGCATTATTTCTCACATTTTTCTACTCATTACTCCAAGTGCTCGCCATGTGAAACGCAAAGAGCTGCGTTGAGAAAGGAAAGATCCAGGATGTCTCACTGTGTCCCAAGCACTGCAGATCCAGGCAGAGGGAATCCTGTGGAGCACTTTCCTAGTGGATTCCAGCAGGCAGGCTCACCCTTTCAGATGTGCTGAGAGAGCTGACTGAATGCCTGGGAAACTACATTGTGTTTATAAACTGGGACTTGGGAACAGCCCTGGAGCACTCTTATTTCCACAGAGCCAGTGGATTCAAAGCAGTTCCCATTCCCACAATCTATCCTCCTGCTTTTTCTTTAGTTTGGTTGTTTGTATCCTGCTAAAATACCAAGGTCCAAATCTTCAAAACTGAGGTATTGACACAACTATCTGTGATGGATAGAGCTCGATGGCAGCTGTCAAAGTCCATACATGAACAAAAGACCTCATCAAAACCTTTCATTTCACTCCTGTATTTCTTTTTAGTGTATTTCTATTCAGAAGAATAAGTCTGCAGGGACAGGATTTTCAGGAGAGATCAGCTCAGGGAGCTGAGCCTTTATAGGGACAGAAGCAAAGCTATTTCTGCAGGTACACTGTGGTGGATGGAGGGGACCATGCAGCACACATTCCAAACCCCAACACAGACCAATTTAACACAGGGCTTGCTGTAAAACACTGCTCTGCCCAACAGAGATCCCTTTCCTAAACCCCAAGGGACTGCAGCTTCTCACAGCCCTGCTTGGGAACAGAGAAGGGGCAAAAGCAATCCTGAGGGATGAAGTTTTCAAATGAGAGAGGTGTTGAGTGACAGGCATTTTGAACGGTGTTTTCCTCCCTGCGCCCAACGTGACTCATTGCAACTTTCCAATGCTTTGATATGGCGAAGAGCCTGTCTGTCTACAAAGGCAGCAGAAGGCGACAGTTATTCCCAAACAATACCACTGTTGCTCAGAACCTGGCTATATTATTTCAGAAGGGCGTGTGTGCGGAGTGAGTTCATTCTCCAGAATGCTGTTGGACATGCCAAGCCTAATTAATCAGAAAGATGATCCACCTCATCAAACCCATCCCAGTCTCATACATGCATAAAAGGGCTCTCCCGAGCCCGTGGAGAGCACAGGTTCATCTTTCTCCTTTCCCTCCTACTCCTTGCTCCAGGCCAGCACCTTTGCTCCTTTATTCTTGCTGTAGCATCCATCCCAATCCAAAAGCCAGCAATGTCTCGCCAGTCCACCGTGAGGATTCAGAGGGGAAGAAGTGGCTTCAGCGCTGCTTCAGCCGTCATCCCAAACACTACCCGCACCAGCTTCAGTTCGTGCTCTGTCACCCGGCTCGGAAGCTGCAATGCTGGCAGCGGGTTTTCTAGGGTTGGTGGTGGCTTTGGAAGCAAAAGCCTCTACAATGTTGGAGGATGCAAGAGGATCTCTGTGGCTGGAAGGGGTGGTAGCTTCTATGGATCTGCAGGTTTTGGTGGTGGTAGTGTGTACGGTGGTGGCTTTGGCATGCCAGGCTATGGATATGGTGCATTTGGTGGTGGCATGGGTGGCCCTGGGGGCATCCACGAAGTCTCCGTCAACCAGAGCCTTCTGAAACCTCTCAACTTGGAGATTGATCCCAACATCCAAAGGATCCGAAAGGAGGAGAAGGAACAAATCAAAACCCTCAACAATAAATTTGCCTCCTTCATTGACAAGGTGAGACATGAGCTTCCCTACATATCTTGTCCTGATTTTTTTGATGGGGACTCTCTTCTTAGCTGCTTTGTGATCAAGAAGGAATAGAAGTGAGGAATGAGACTGGAAGATGCCTAGTCCCTGGAAACTCCAGGGAATGGTACCTGCTACACAGTGGTTGCTATGAATTAATCATCCAGTATTAGAGGTCCTCCTTATTTGCTGCTTGACATCTCATAGGCAGTGGAAAAAGAAAGCTCTAGAAGACAATCCTACCCACTGAGCACTATAGGAGCCTAGACAACAGGTTTTAGATGGTTAAACTGAGATGCAAGCAACCCATCTAAAATGACCAAGAAAGGAATGGCACGAATTGGCATTAGGAAAAGTAAGCTCATTGCTTAAATTACCTGAAAGGCATTTAAAGGTATCACTGCAACAGTACCAGCTTGTTTGAACTGTTATGAAACATGCTTGGGCAGCATGTTTCAAAGTAGAAAAATCTGATCTGACACTGTCTGTCCACTTCATTTCCTTGTTAACTGTATTAGATGCACAAGAGCAACTGCTTGACTTCTGCTCCGGTTGAGCAGCTCCTCTTTGGTTTCAAGGAAAACACTGCATCATTGTGGAGCTTTTGTAGGGTGGGGAAGCTATACTGAAAGCAGGGAGAAATGGCACTTTACTATTGGGTTTTTAGCAAGAGTGCAAACCATGTCTTGCTCCTTATCTCGCTTTGCGTGCAGTCTTTACACAAAATGCATGCACCTTACCTTGATTCATCAAGCACAGTGATAGAAAATCAGCAGTCATTCGTTCCATAGCTTGTTTGCAACACTGAGTAGGGTCCCTGCAGCCAAACAGCAAATTCCTTCTTCTAGCAGAGGAGAATCTGACTATGAAAATCAGCTGTAAGGAGTGTTCCAGCACCTCAGCTAATCCTGAGATCCCCCATTTGCAAGGAAAGCTCTCCGTAATCTCTGCTCTTTCAAAGCATCTTCAGGATATTTCTGCTTGCAGGTCCGATTCCTTGAGCAACAAAACAAAGTGCTGGAAACCAAGTGGAGCCTGCTCCAGGAGCAGGGGATGAAAACAGTGAAGAACAACTTGGAGCCGCTTTTTGAGACGTACATCAACAACCTCAGGATGCAACTGAACAGTTTGCTGAGCGACAAGGGAAGGCTGGAGGGAGAGCTCGTCAACACACAGTACCTGGTTGAGGATTTCAAGAAGAAGTAAGTTTACCGAGCTAGCGGGCTACTTACCTGTGTAGGTGCAGCCTTTCTCCATTCAACATCCTTAAGCCAACTGGGAGATCCAGGAGAGTCCGGGACACAGGAATTCCCAACAGTGAGGGTTGTGACATTTTCTTGAGATAAATGGTAATGGAGTCACAGATCCGAATACACAAACACTTAGGGAATTGTTTCGAATATGATCAAAGAGTCATTAACTAAATTACCTACTGAGAAAAAGAAGAGAGAAATTACATGCTAGGTCTGAGAGTTCCAGGACAGCTGAATTTGCCTGAGAGGCAGGAGGAGTCTGACTAACGGCCAGAAATAGGAGAAAAGAATAGATTCTTTCAAATTTATTTGATGTACTTGTTTTAACTAGTTTAGCCTAGGAACGTGCTCATGGTCTCTTATTCAGGTGTTCTATAGGAGAAAAGACCATTGTATGCAAAATTCTCTTAAGGAAATTCATTCCAGCAAACTAAAATCACCTCCGTCTGTTACTTGCCTAAACAAATGCTCCCTCTGCCTCCTTCCATCAGGTATGAAGATGAAATCAACAGGCGCACGGTTGCAGAGAATGAGTTTGTGACGCTCAAGAAGGTGAGAGAAAACGGCAGACCACCATCTGATGAATATTGATAGAGCTCTGATCGCCTGCTCAGTCACAAATCCATCCATGCAGATTTCAAAAGCTTTTCCCTGTGTTGTTATTACAGGGACGTGCTTGTTCCTGACTTAATAGGAGTTTAAGACACATAACATAAATCTCTCATCCTCCAGGATGTAGATGCTGCCTATATGAACAAAGTGGAACTACAAGCCAAGGTAGATGCGCTGACTGAAGAAATTAATTTCCTGAGAGCCCTCTATGAAGCAGTGAGTACAACCCCCTCCCAAGCCATTGCAACCCTCAGTTAAGAGCTTCCCCCTGAAACCCTGTAATTTCTTCCCCCAGGAGATGCTAACTCCTTTATCTCTTTAGAGTTACATCAACCGTCTTAGCTGGCTAGATAACAATCTGTAGCCTCTGCCAGGTCTGCACGCTCATCTGAAAGGATGAAGGCATCTCCCAATGGAATGAGCTCACCTAATCCCCTATGCACTTTGCAGGAGCTGTCACAGATGCAGACGCAGATCTCCGACACCTCTGTCGTTCTCACCATGGACAACAACCGAAACCTGGACCTGGACAGCATCATCTCAGAGGTCAAAGCGCAGTATGAGGACATCGCCAACCGGAGCAGGGCTGAAGCAGAGTCCTGGTACCAAACCAAGGTGAAGAACCTGGGGGTTTCCGTGCTGTTATCTTCATGTTTTGTCTTGAACAGATAAAGAACAACTCTTCCAAGAAAACTGTCTCAGATATTGCATCTTGCACAGTTGCTAGTCTAAGCTCGAGGAGGGACCTGTGCTTTCAGGCACCTGGATGACTCCATAAAGGATGGCTTTTCCCTTGGGTAATTGTTCCTCTCTCTTGGTGACAGTACGAAGAGCTGCAGGCTACAGCAGGCAGGCATGGGGATGACCTCCGCACCACCAAGCAGGAGATCTCCGAGCTCAACCGCCACGTCCAGCGGCTGCGGTCTGAAATCGACAGCGTGAAGAAGCAGGTGAAAGGCAGCAAAGCCCACACTTTAAACCAGTTCCTTTTGCAAGGGAGAGGAGGGAAAATGTCAGAGCAGCCTGGGCAAGTTCTGCTCAGTTTAATGCTTTTTCTTGCAAAAAAGAGGAGTGTCACTAACAAACAGTTAACCTGCTGGGATTGGTATAAAACCTTGTGATTTCAGGGTAGATAAGGGTCAGCTCTAGGTCTGATATGGGGAATTTGACTGGGGGTTTCTTTTCTGCAGTGTGCCAACCTGAAAGCGGCCATCGCAGATGCTGAGGAACGTGGGGAGCTGGCCCTCAAAGATGCCAAAGCCAAACTGGCTGAGCTGGAGGATGCTCTGCAACAGGCCAAAGCAGACCTGGCCCGGCAGCTCCGCGAGTACCAGGAGCTCATGAACGTCAAGCTGGCCCTGGACATTGAGATTGCGACCTACAGGAAGCTGTTGGAGGGAGAAGAGTGCAGGTGGGTAGGAAACACAATCCTTCTAGTCCTGATGATGGAGAGGCAAAGCAATGAGAGCACGGGAGATGCTCAGCACGTCTGGAAAGCTAAACAGGGCAGTGCGGGGCAGAGAAGGAGAAGATTGTCCTCGCTAATGGAAATCACATAGCAAGAAGCATCCCCGAATTAGAGCAAGATTTTCTTTTTCTCCCCAAGATCTCTAGGAAATACACCCCGTTTCCCTCACACACACCATCAACAGACTTCTTATCCTCTTACCTTGCTGTTTTCTGTCCCCTAACAGGCTGGCTGGCGATGGCGTCCCAGTGAATATCTGTAAGTCTCTAAAATACATGCAAACTACCTTTATTAAGCATTAATGTGCCTGTGCCCAAAGAAACTGAGAGCTTCTCCTTCTTCTTGCAGCCGTGACCAGAACCACTGTGGGGACAGGGTACGGAGGAGGAAGCAACCTCAGCATGGGAGGGGGAATCTGCAACATGGGGAACAGCTTCAGCTGTGGAAGCGGTCCCGGGGTTACCACCACCACCCTCGGGGGAGGCAGCAGCTCCAGCATGAAGTTTGTCTCAACTTCCTCCACCAGAAGAAGTTACAGAAGCTAAAAACCTCCTTTCAGATGCCTTCATTCACCAGAAAACACCTTAACATTGGCCATAGTTGGGGTCAACAGAATGAGGGCCACCTAAACCCTATGTCTTGTCGCACAGGAGCCTCACCTTAGGAACTCTCTTTCAGCTGTGTTGTCTCGCACGCGTCGTGTAGGGCTCTGCTATTGAACATGAGTCCAAGTGTTTTAAATTGGCAGCTTGCTTTTTACAGCTCAGCACTTTTTGGCAGGATTTTGTATATAAAACGTGTCCCGTGACTGTTTGTCTCTTTTCACTTTCTGGTGTTTGTCTAATAAAAATGCATATGTAATTTATTCTATTTTGTGGGCCTTTTAATTAAAGACATGGAACAGCAAATGCAAATGCAGGTAACAAGCACTTTTCCTAGGGCTTTGCCCAGTGAAAAGCTCAGATTTTTGCTCCTCATTCACATCTCCATTAGCAGCCAAAACACACTGGCACAGCTTAGCACCAAAGGGAGGTTTGCTGGTGATTTCAGTGTTCTCCCTGCTGGAAGCTAAACACAGGGCACGCCAAGGCAAGAGCCAGGCACAGGGGAAAAGGTCTAAGATTCATTTACTATGCAGGTCCCAGGCAATGCAACATCCAACAGCCTGGCTCCCAGGGGGTACGAAGGGCAGTGCCAAGCGTGTGATGTACCTGCATAAACTTCTAACAATAGGGAGCTAATTACATAGGGAGTCAGAGCAACCACCCGACTTGTTTGGGTGTATCAGCGCATCTCAAAACCCCTTTTACTGTGAGTTGAGTGCAAACATCTGCGGGTTGAAAGCACACCCTTTCTGTTCAGAGCGCTGGCCACGATGGTTTAGGTGCTCATCTTGGATCTTGGTGCTGATGTTCCTTCTCCTTTGACTATAAGCAGGTGGAGGATCTGGCCCATGTGCATTCAGGCGCTACACTGAGTTACATGTTGCTCATCCAATAGCTGTAAAAAATATCCAAGAATGGGATACCTGCTGGAAAGTGCAAGTCTTCAATATCCAGTGTTTCTTCGCACTCCTAGAATACATTGGAGACAAGGTCTTGCTCTGAGAAAGTGAAGAAAAAACAGAGGAGGTGTAGCAATTTTAGATGTGGCTCTGATAATAGAGAGAAATGAATTGAGAAGCAAAAGCAGAGCATCATCAGGCTGAAAGCTACAGTGACAGACCTCACTGCTGAAGAGCAGTTGGACAAGCAGAAAAACGGTCCCATCTCTCACCCCATGTTATTCAGGAAGTTCAAGTAGTAGGAAAATACTCAGAGAGATGGGCAAGTAGAGGGGAATTGGCAGAGCCTGAATCATAGAATCATAGAATAGTTAGGGTTGGAAAGGACCTTAAGATCATCCAGTTCCAACATCCCTGCCACGGACAGGGACACCTCACACTGAACCAGGCCACCCAAGGCCTCGTCCAACCTGGCCTTGAACACTGCCAGGAATGGAGCATTCACAACCTCCCTGAGCAACCCATTCCAGTGCCTCAGCACCCTCACAGGAAAGAATTTCTTCCTTAGATCCAATCTAAACTTTCCCTGTTTAAGTCTGAACCCGTTACCCCTTTTCCTGTCACTGCAGTCCCTAATGAAGAGTCCATCCCCAGCATCCCTATAGCCCCCCTTCAGATGCTGGAAGGCTGCTGTGCGGTCTCCATGCAGCTCCAGGCTGAACAGCCCCAACTTTCTCAGCCTGTCTCCATACAGGAGGTGCTCCAGTCCCTGCTCATCCTCGTGGCCTCCTCTGGACTTGTTCCAACAGTTCCATGTCCTTTTTATGTTGAGGACACCAGAACTGCACACAATGCTCCAGGTGAGGTCTCATGAGAGCAGAGTAGAGGGGCAGGATCACCTCCTTCGCCCTGCTGGTCACACTCCTTTTGATGCAGCCCAGGATACGGTTGGCTCTCTGGGCTGCAAGAGCACACTGAAGCCAGCTCATGTTCATTTTCTCATCAACCAGCACCCCCAAGTCCTTCTCCTTGGGCTGCTGTGAATCTCTTCTTTGCCCAACCTGTAGCTGTGCCTGGGATTGCTCCGACAAATGGATGATTGAGAGTGTTTGGGTTTTCCTTCAAGACCATCAGTTTCCACAATGTTCTGGGATGCTCTGATGTTCCTCTCTGTATCCCTCAGGCAATCTCCTTCCCAACAACTTGCAGGCTTGGCTATGGGTCTGCTGAGACTCTCACTCCTGCTCCACCACCTCTCCCTGCTGAATGTTCACAGCAGCTTCCTGGTAAGGAGCCAATATCCTCACTCTGAACAACAGCTCGGGCAGTGTTAAATAATGGTCTTCCTCCTTGCTGCCCAAACACACTCTGTAACCAAAGAGGATGTAATGCACGTAGCCAACAGGCACATCAGATGGATGCCACCCATTGCATCAGCACCTGCATTGTAACATAGAGATTACAAAGCTCTTCATCGAGCATGGGAGAGGCTGAGGCCAGAATATTTGTTCTCCCAGGGCATCCCTGCTTAAGCAAGATACAAAAAGACACCCTGGCAAATGTTCCCATCTCTGGATACGCAACCAGTGTACAACTGTCCCTGCTCCAGAGCAGGGCTCTGCTCACGATGCACAATGCATCCATCCTGCTGGACAAGTTAAACAGATGTAGCAATGACCTGGGGCTTGTATTTCAGTGTGAGAGGACAGCCCTTGTTAATTCTAGCACAGCCCAGATTAAACCCTTAGTCATGATGAAATGAATGGTGTTTGCACTCAGGGGCTTGAATTTGCAATGCATGGAAGGAACTGATTCCTAATTGCTACCCATAACACTTTTACAGAGCTCTTTAGGAGTCTTCAGTAGCTTAGTCACAGGAGCTCCCCTCTTAAAAATTGATGCTTGTTGTAACACACAGTAGCTGAAACACTCCCAGAACAGTTATTTTAGCTTCATTCCAGGGTGTGTAATGAGAAATATTAGAAGAATAGAGAAGAAAATAAGGCAGAAAGGTAGGAGAAGATGCATCTGAAACTATATGCCCCGTACCCAGTGCCTGCAAGGGTCTTTCTAATAGCTGGGGAAAGCTGTGACTCCCCAGTAACTCTACAGGCTGCTGCTACCTCCTTTGGTGAGTAGATAACCACCATGGACAGCCACAAGAGATGTACCTTGGCAAACCTAATGGGCTGCAGGGTCCAAGAGAAGCGTATCCATCCCTGAACATCCAGACAAGACCCTGGGAGTGGATTTCCAGCACCTTACCTGCTCTCGGATGAGTGCCTGTGCGTGGAGTTGTGCTCATTTCGGCTGGGATAGCATTAATTTTCTTCACAGTAGCTGGTATGGAGCAAGGTGTTGGATTTGTGCTGAAAACACAGGGCTGTTTAGCTATTGCTGAGCAGTGCTTACACTGAGTCAAGGCCTTTTCTGCCCCCCACCACAACCCACCAACCAATCGGCTGGAGGTGCACAAGAAGCTGGGAGAGAACACAGCCAGGACAGCTGATCTCAACTGACCCAAGGGCTATTCCAGACCATATGGTGCCACAATCAGCATGTGAAGCTGGGGAAGAGGAAGGAAAGGGGAAGATGTGCAGAGGGATGGAATTTGTCTTCCCATTATGAGTGATGGAGCCTGGGGATGGCTGAACACCCACCTGATCATGGGAAGTGGTGGATGAATCCCTTGCTTTGCTTTCCTTGCATCTGCAACTTCTTTGCTTTACCTATTAAATTGTCTTTATCTCAATTCATGAGTTTTCTCACTTTTACACTAAAGATTCTCTTCCCCATCCCATCAAGGGGCTGTGTGGTGCTCAGTTGTTGGCTGGGGCTTAACCATGACAACAGTGCTACCATACAACATGCACATGGCAAGTCAAAACACCATAAATCATGTAATAGATTGAGCTGGAAGGGACTTTCAAAGCTCATCTAGTCCAACCCCTCTGCAATGAGCAGGGACACATTCAATCGGATCAGGTCACTCAGAACCACATCCAGCTTGGCCTCAAATGTCTCCATGTGTCTCTAGAGAAATGCACTGTTTGACTTTTCCTGGGTGCTACGTGGAATAAGAGCAAAGGGAGTTGGCTGGGAACAAGGTCATAAGCCATGATCCCAAGCAGTGAATTTCCTTGTGAGTAAGAGATATCAGAGGGAGAAGACAACACAAATGGGGCAGGAAGCCTGGCAATAGGCTTCACACCATGTAGAGACAAGGTCATGCCATGAGTCAGGAAACAGCCAAAAGATCTGTGAAGGTGAAGCCCTGAGAAATTGTTAACTCAGGTTTTGTGTCGTCACAGACAGTAACTCCCTCCCAGCTCATGCTCTGGTATTTCATCATTGGTTGTCAGTCTGAATCAGGATGAAACACAGGCACTTTTCACAGGAAAGCTTGAAAATACCATTCATAGAATCACATTCCATGTGCTCCCCACTCCCCAGCTGGTTTTTGATAGTTGATGGTGCAAGACTTGCACCAATGCCCCATAACTTCCCCCCATCACTGCTTTCTCTCATCCGTATCAGTTCTGGTTTAAATCTCTTGTTTGGGCATGAGAACCAGAGTTCAGCATTTCCAACAAGTCAAGGCCTGAGGTGCTGATGCCCCGCTGGGGTTTACTCAAAACCACAGCAGCAGGAAAACATTGACCCAAAGTAACAGATTCCTCAGCCCTTGGACCACTGCACCGTGAAATACCATGGGTTTATGCAACAGAGAGATTGATTCACCCCTGAAACAGAGATGAGCGAGTGCTTGCCCAACATTGGGAACCATCTGCTGCAGAGGTGAAAGGAGGGAGTGGGGAAGGGAGGGCTGTGAACAGGGGTTGAGCAGGAACTATTTAGTGTTTTCTCAGATATTTCGACAGCCCCATCATGACTGTCATGAAAAAATGCAACCCCTGCACTTTGGGAGTGCTTCCTCCGTGCCTGTGCTCATGGTGAACTCACTGGCTGCATCGGGCTGGGTGTGCCGAGCCCGGTTAATCAGTGAGATGAGCACCACGCCAGACCCATCCCCATCCCCAGCTAGTAAAGGGTATAAAAGGGCCAGTCCCAGCCTGGGGGAGCACAACTTCACCTTCCTGCCTTCATCCACTTCCTCGCTGCTTAATTCTTTCTACCGCTCTCACCCTGCTCACATCAGCTGCCATGTCTCGTCAGTGTGCTGCAAGGAACCAGATCAAAACCGGCTTCAGTGCTGCGTCTGCCTTCATCCCAAATGCCAGCAGCTCCAGCCTCTGCTTGCGTTCTGCATCCCAAGGTGGAAGCTGCAGTTCCGCCGCTGGCTATGGAAGATTTGCTGGAGGTTTTGGAAGCAGGAGCCTCTACAGCCTTGGTGGATGCAAGAGGATCTCCGTAGCTGGAAGAGATGGTGGCTTCTATGGACCTGCAGGCTTTGGTGCAGGCACTGGGATCCCGTGTGGTTTTGGTGGTGCAGTTGGTGGTGCCTTCGGGTTTGGTGGTGGCATGGGTGGCCCTGGATTCCCTGCTGTCCCAGCTGGGGGCATCCATGAAGTCTCAGTTAACCAGAGCCTTCTGAAACCTCTCAACTTGGAGATTGACCCCAACATCCAGAATATCCGCAGGGATGAGAAGGATCAGATTCAAACCCTCAACAACAAATTTGTCTCCTTCATCGACAAGGTGAGACATAAGATTTCTTGGTTAAGCTCTGTAGATTCTTCAGTGGGGAAGCAAGAACAAGGGCAAGTTGTATCTTTATCAGCAATTCTGCTGCTCCTGTTCTGACACTTCTAACATGAGCAGCTTGGGAATAAAAGGTTTCAGCTTTGAGACCACTCAACCCTTGCATTAATGCTGAGATGAGACCAGCCAACACTGGGAAAATGGTGACACAGGGTGTAAGGAAGCAGAGTTTGCAAAGAGAGCAGGAATGTTAATATCAGATGTGCAATGTTTCCTTGCTTGTCTAAATTATCAGCTGTTCCCCGAGCCCTGAGAGCCCCCACCTTTCAGCAAGCAGGACTCTACCTTTCCTCTCTAAGGAGAACCACCCTAAAATCACTGTGAAACATCTCCGTTCCCTATCCAGGTCCGATTCCTTGAGCAACAGAACAAGGTCCTGGAGACCAAATGGGCCCTTCTGCAAGAACAAGGGAACAAAACAGTCAGAAACAACATTGAGCCCCTCTTTGAGACCTACATCAACAACCTCAGGAGCCAGCTGAACCGGTTGCTGACCGACAAGGAGAACCTGGGAGGGG